CATTTACACTACTTTTGTGTGTGCCTCTATGAAATGTCAAGTGATCGTCAGTTAGAATGAATTAAAAGTGTACAATCTACATTATTTCATTTTTTTATTGACGAAACACTGTTTTATATTTCTTGGGAGAGAAGGGTGGTTTCCAGCTATTCAACTTTATAGTTCTCATACGTCACAATTTGCTACTTTTATCTTTAGACAACTTTTAACAAGACCTGTGACATAGGAAATACTTATAAACGTGCTCTCTTTGCACCCATAGAAAGCGGAAGTAATTATACGGTGGATAGGAAACGTATCAGATTCAGAATTTTAATTGTCACATTAAGGACCTCTGGAAATTTAAGCACATTCTTCAATCTGTCAATAAGCGTAGTAACGTGGCTCACAGTTCCCCAATGGCTGTACTAATACCCCCAGCAATCGATACTCTGTATTGTTTTGATAAAAACTAAGGATAATCTACCATTATTATTTTGTAGGGAATCTAATGAAGTTAATTTCTTAATCCTGGTGAGCCTTGGTTCTCAGTCGCTCTATTTACTGGCACGGGTCGATTTAGAGCTATTCTGGGAAGCCGCCTTAACGACGTTCGGTCCTGATATTTAAAGTCTTAAACTTTTTTTGCCAAGTATATTTTTAGTTTCTGCATACATAGCTTAATTAAAATTCAAATCTAAAAATGGGGCCAATACGCTTCTTTTGGCGCTACAATACATTTAATATGACCTTTCTGCACTGAAATTTGTGTCAATTAAAATTACATTTTTTACGTTTTCCCTACAATATTTTTATCCAATTAAAGCATGAAACAAAAAGAACTCTCAATTTGTTTTAAAAAAAGACACTTAAAAATTGTGACTAAGAAAAAGTTTCAAATTGCATCGCATAATCAATTATTTGACCTTTCTGCACTAATAAAATGTGATTTTTCTGGCATTGAAAATTTAATAAGCAAGAAAATTATTTTAAAGTCTTAAACTTTTTCTGATTTTAAGCAAATAGGTCAAATTTATCTTGAATATTTAGAAAAGAACATCAAAAGTTGGGGTATATGATGTAAATTTTCAGATATTACTAAAAAAGTGTCAATTTTACGTTAAAATTGGCTCAATTTTCCCCCGGATTTTCAGAATATATTTACTATATTTGTCACACTTTGTTGATAGAATTCATAAGAAATAATTTAATAGATATTTCAGAACCAGTATAACACATTTCACTGCAAAAAAAACAGCTTTGTGTGCAACCAGGATGGGAAAATAGGAATCCAAAATTAACAATACTGTTATAGTTCAAAATGGAAAAACTGATCATTTTCGTCTAAAAAAAACTTTCTGCCACAAAATATAGTCCCTAGCTTAATTCTACTTAAAGGGAATTTAATCGCGGTTTTTTCATTGAACATAGTTCAATTTGCACTGTAGAATTCAGATTTAATGTTAGAACTTAAAAATGATGAAGAACTTTATAAATAAAGGACCTGACCAAAATATGCTCAAAATCTCAGGATCGAAGTCCTTAAAACGTTATAAAAGGCACAAATTTCCAGTGGAATTTTTTCTTTCAAATAATAGAGAGCACATGTATCCTCTCAAAGATTTTGAGAAATGTCGTATATTAAAGAAGTATCTGAAAATTAAAGTGGTCAGAAATTTGTTGACAAGCAAAAATATTAAAAAAAAAAAAAAAAACGTGACATACCTATTTCGGGAGGAGGGGTTCTTGAATTCTTATATTCATACTTACATTATGACTGTTTGTACTCATTTAACACGAACGCGCGTGCGTTTTCAAATGGAGTCTGCATTTTCTATAAGGGTGCGAAAAGTTACATTTTACTTTGTTTAGGATCTGAATTTGATAACTCTGCATATTAACGGGGGGGGGGGGGGGGAGGGGGTCCGCACCCCCCCCCCCCTTAAGCTGTGATCCGCGCATGGTGTCGTAAAATAAATAACTTCAAGATAAGAACAGAGACTTAAAACATTATATTGGAATACCTATGAAAGGGTTCATCCATCCTCTAATTTCTGCGCTTAAGTAATTTATTAAGATTTTTAAAAAAAAAGAGCAAAAACAATTACATTAATTTTACAGAAAGAATGTCATTGTTAATAACTTGCCATTGAAACGTTCATGAATAGTTTTGATCAAAATGAAAATAGAAGGTGTATTATAATATGCTATAATTCAAATTTTCTGAAAATCACATTTTACTTACATTGTTCAGATTAAGAAAATATTGCAAATAAAAGGTAAGTACATTGATTTTACAACTACAAGTAACTTAAAACATTACAATATATGTACATGTATGGCCTTGTGTCTTTCTTTTTTATGGTTTGAAAAAAGACATGATTTTTTTTCCGATTGAAGTGCCAAAAATAGCTAGTGTAAAATAGTCCTTAGTTATAAAAATTCTTTCATATAAATCTCATGAAAATATGCAGTGAACTCAAGGAAAAACACATCACAGTGTATCATATTTTTTAATGTATTTCGTTTTTTGGATATTTTGTTTGGAAAAATATGCTAATGGTAACCTAAATATAATATTTAATGATATACGTGATGACTTCAATTTCTCCATCATCAAGCTTTCTTATTAATTTAGCAATATTCCATTATACCCTATAAATTAGTTTATGTCTTAAAGTTGATTTGATTTTCAGGAGCATGCTCTGTTTTGCTCTACTTACATGTACTAACAATGACTAAAACGAGATAAACTTCTAACCCAAAAAAAAAGGATATCAACTGTCTTGTTTCATGTAAAGGTCGGTAAAATGACATTGTCAGCAAATAAAATCCATCAATGTCAAATGTTAACTGCTAAATCTCATAAAAATTGTAGGCCCATTATTTTTTACGATGAACTGTTTTCGTATTTTATCCTTCTAAACAGTAATTATATGGAACTAACGGCGGGAGTAACCAGTCGACAGGAGGCACTTAATCTTCCGTGGCACCCAATCATGATCCCACGCCTGATGTTATAAGAGGTTCGATTCACTCTGCCCCTAATTTGTATTCCTTGAAGGGACTATGATAAGTTTTTTTTTTTTACATGCACTGTTCGTTACTTTCATATATTTCACGGAATTTAAATTTAATCTCATAAGTACATGTATTATCTTAATTCTAAAAGTCATAGGACATATGTAACTTTCATGGCTAATTTTATTTATTTCAATAAAAAAACAAGTTATAAATGCAACGTTATGAAATACTTTATTTGGAATATGATAATAGTTACAAATTAGATACATTGTATAAATGAAAGAAATGACAATTGTTATTTTATCTTTCTGCATTTACTTAAACAACGGAAAGCCTCATCAGATGGATGATCTCTTTATCATCATGTCCACAGAGGACCTTGCTGGTTTATGAAACGTTCATTAACAGGTCTGGACGATTTCTAAATAAGGAAGTCAAGAACGATAACCGCGAATTGCTATTAATACACAGAATAAACAAGGCACTAATCATTCTGACCAATCAGATAGCAGCATTTAGACAAACCCATGAGAAAATAAACAAAACACGTGGCTTTTAAGTTTTTTGCTCAAAAGATTTTTTTAGAACAAACTTTGTGTAAACTTTATGCGCATTTGCGAATAAAATAATATTTATGACAATTCTACCGTGAACAAACACGGCTTGAAAGCTTAGAATACGTTTTATGTGGGATAAAAAAAATCTGTCTCTAGGAGTTAACAATCCCAAAAGATTACTTACGTTAAAAAATGATATAAATACGGTAAATTTTCAGTTTTTAGAGCCTGACATTAAAATCTTATCGAAAAGATAACAGTCTTTATTATTTTTGAGTGTTTATTACAGAATACTAGTAGTCCATGCAGTTTCTGATATGCGAGGTAAGATATTGGGATAAAACGCATTCATGTATAATTACAGGATTCTCTTTTCTCCACGTTAAACGCCTTTCCTTATGCCCATGTAAAGTCAGCATAGCTAAGTATTCGGCGCTCATGAAACCCGTGATAATACAAAACTACAACTGTATATGTGTATACTCCATACGATAAACACTTGTGTGAGTTGATCTATACACATGGAATTTAAGCATTATCGATGAAAATCGGACGACTAAGCAAAATTATATTTACCATCATATAATATATTCTGGTAAATGTTATAATTGAACTTGATAAAAAACTTGCTGGTGCGATTTATACCTCTGTAAACGATTACATTCTATCGTGCATTATTTTTTTTCTTTACCGAGATAAAAATGTCAAGGTTGTTCACGGTAAAAATATGGGGAATACCTTATCCTTCAAAAGTTTTCATCTTATTTCTATAGATTTTTTGTTAAAAAAATCTTTTTGAGGAAAAAAACAAAAGCACGTGTTATCTTTTTGTTCTTTTAAAATGTTTTGGGGTGTGTAAAAATGCTGTTGTTTGATTGGACAGAAAAATAATTACGTGTACTTGATGTACATTTATAGCAACTTTCGGTTATCGTTCTTGACTTCCATATTTAGAAATCGTCCAGACCTGATTAACCTCATGCATCTCTAAAAATGTCTATACAGTATAAATATATGGTTAATAATATAAAAAAATATGTACATATGAAATCCTAGTTCACAAAGTTCCAAAAATGGAAATACAAATTGTAGTTAATTATAGTTTATAATGAAGTTTTCAGGAAGTTTCTCACGATATAATCAATACCTAGCATAATGGGTTCACTACGGATTTCTAGTCTGATAGTTATAATTTATTTTCTAAATTTGTATATATACATTTTTAACATCAAAATACATGTATACACGTTCTTTGTAAAAATAAAACACACTAGAGTTATCTAGATAAATAACATTCTGTTTGAAAAATTCCACAGAAACACAGAGAAAAAAACCCCAAAATAATGCCGAATGTCATTCTATTGTCCTAAATTGTTTATTTTATTTTTATATGTTTGTTAATTCATAGAGATATCAACAAGATATCATAAAATGATTAAAAAAAACGCCATTGATTTAAGAACATTGCTAAGGTTTAAATTTTAAATATTTCAAATGTGATTGGTCATTTTGAAATAAACATTTGACTTAATAACATATTGCTTCTACCCACACCTACATGTACTGTTAATAAAAAGATGCTAGAGTTTCTTACGAAGATTTTTATGCGTATGATGTAGTCTTTGCATGCACTCACAGTCTTTCAATAATGGTTTCGCTACTAAGGATACTAATTATTCTCGTTTCTTTAATCATAAGGCATAAAATTTTGATCTTTGAATACTGAATAATTATTTTCAATCATTCATCCAATCAATAAATTCCAGTAATATAAAAATATATAAATTTGTTCACTTTGTTGTCCAGGCATTATGTTAAGTCCTAACCAACATCCAAACTATTTTGTGTGTTCAGTATCAAAAGATACACCACACACCTAAGAATTAATATCTTTTTTTACAGTTGATAAAGACAACAGTTCATCTACCTCCTCGTAAATGTCAAAAAGATCTCCTTTCATACACCGCCATTTTTTCAACTCTCGTTCATTTGTTCTTAACGTTCTGTCTTTTAAAACATGCTCTATGGTTGCTATGATACTTCCAATCTCTCGTGGGAATGCTTTATCAAATATACCAATAATTCTGGTTTCAAAATGAATGTCAAAAATGAATTTCAAATATTTTTCAATCGCCTCCTTAGTGTACAATTTTAGACAATCTTCAAAAGAGGCACGTGCTTGTTGGGAGGCAACTGCTCCGTGAGACGAGTGCTGCATTTCGTCGGGGAAAAGGGCTAAAGCAGCAAACGTGTTCATTGTTGGAAGCCATGGACATGGTTCCAGCAATTTCTGTAGACCCGAAGGGATATCATTTCTTTCTTCAGAATCTTCTTCTCCAGTCAACAATGTTGTTATTTCTTCAATTTTCTGTCGAATAACTCTAAAATTTTTTGACACTTTGTTTTCAATTCCGTCTAGTGCATTTAAAACTTCTTTCCCTTTCATCCACTCAATCGTTTCTTTTCGCATAATTGAATTCCAGTCAATGGATTCTTTTTCTTTGGTTCTGTACTTTTCTCGAATTTCGTCACTACTGTTGAAGGACTTTAATTTTGTGTGAAATGTTTTCGAGAGGTTTGATGCAGCAAGTGTTATTTCATCTAAAAGCTTTTGTTTAACCTAAGAAAATACGAATATATTTCATATATATTATTCTAAGCTCTCTGATTGGTGAAACTTGCTTACATGATCAAGTATATATATGTAGCAGCATATAAGCATATAGAATTGTGATACTATTTATAAACTCTAAAAAGCATATCAACTTGATGTTTCTTAAAACGAGAAAAATCTTTTGAATGAAAAAAAGTTCTGACTTCAAAATAGCTTATACAGTGTATAACTTAGTTTTCTGAAAGAAAAACTCTATGATATGTACTGTAATGTTTGGTTATACATAACGATGCCTTGAATAAGGATTTACATTTTATTAAAATATATCAGTAGGGTTTGTTTTTCATTAATCGATAGAAAAGATATTAATCAAATAAAGTCACTATAATCAGTAAATTCCCTGAATTGTTTTGTCAGTAGAAAACAAACACCTTAATTTGATCTCTTAGTCCCTGTAATGTAAAAAAAGTCGAGAAACTTTTGGCTCGTTTCCATTACTTTCAAATTTTGTTTTTATGCGCCCGGTGTAACGACGAAAAGTGACCCCCGTAAAATACTGATCAGGGGGTCATTTTTCTACGTAGAAAATGACCCGGATCAATATTCTAAGACAAGTAAGGTCATTTTCGACTGCAGAAAAACATTCCAGACCAGCAATTCTACGACTCCACACACAATGAAAAATGACCCCCATAGAAATTTGACCCCTACTTTTTTATACTATAAAACCTAATATATGTGTTTCCTTATATTTTTATTCTTTCAAATATAAGAAAGGGTGGGGGTATGCACTTTAATCCTTTCAAACATATATTTGATTGCATATTTTAATAGAAGCATCACTGCGAAACAATATATTCAAGAAGAGGTGTGAATCAGATGTGGATACTCAAGAATTCCAAAAAACTTTTGGACCGTTTGAAATCACAAAATTTTTCCAAAATCAGCAGCTTAAAAACTTACGACTTTTCAAGTTTATACACAATCATTCCCCACGATAAATTCAAGTCCACGCTTTTTGATAGCATTGATAGCTGCTTTTTTCAAAAAATATGGAACTAGAAAATGTACTTATCTGGTCATTGGTCATTTGCAAAATTATTTTGTTAAAACATTCTCATCGCACACAAAAGTACACTGAAGTTGACTTCAAAAGTTGCTTGAGTTTCTGATTGACAATATCTATGTGGTTTTTGGAGACCAAGGCTTCCAACAATCTATTGGTATTCCCATGGGTACCAATTGCGGTCCGTTATTAGCAGACCTATTTTTGTATTCATATGAAGCAGAATTTATGAAAAATCTTATGCGTGAAAAAAAGAATTTACCTGCCGTGGCCTTCAACTTGACATTTAGACATATCTACGACGGTAATTTCTATTCCTACGTCGAAACGATATATCTTGGTGAGCTTAAGATAAAAGAGACCATACAGTCTGACACATCTGTTTCATACTTGGATATTTTACTTGAAAAAGAAGTTAATGGTAATCGAACAAACAAGTATACGATGAACGTGATGACTTTAACTTTTCTATCGTCAACTTCCATTACCTATGCAGCAATAAACCTTCATCACCTGCATACAGAGTTTATATATCTCAGTTGATTCGATACACAAGAGCATGCTCTACGTATGAACTATTGACAAGCAAGTTAATGAAACAAGAATATAAGCAGTTTCGTTTAAAGTCATCACTTCATAAGTTCTATGGTCAATACAATGTCCTTGTCAGCAAATACAATTTATCATTGAGTTAAATGATAATTTAAATTAAGCACGTTTTTCATACTAATTGTTACACCATTATTTATACTCTGAATTGACGACGGATGTTTCCGTCATTTCCCGATCATGACAAGCAGTACACGTCGGGTGTGACCGGTCAGCAGGGGATGCTCACTCGTCCATGACACCTGATCCCACCTCCGATGTTTCGGAAGTCCAAGTTTGCTCTGCTCCTATTTTGTATTGTTTTATGGACTTTGATATTGAATACTGTTCGTGATCTCCATACCCTTCTTCATCGAGGAGCATAAAGAACTATATGCGGTATATTGCATATATTTGCCCCCACAAAAGTCAAATTTTGAAAACTTCCTGAAATGTGCTGAATTCAATAAATTGAGAAATATAAATTAACAGAAAATATTAAAGTTTCAAAGCAGTGTATTCACAATTTTTGTTTTTATGACGTCACAAACTAGTCCGATTATATATCTTTTTCAGAAAGAGGACAAAATGGACAAAATTTCAACAATTTTAGCTTTAAAATTTATAGAGCGCAAGTTTGTTCAGGAATAATATTGACATATTTCATTGATATTATCATTCTACACATTATATCAAAATATTGATCCTGAACACACATGCGCTCGATGACTTTTACTCAAAATATCGACGAAATATGTACATTTTTCTGTAAAATTCATAAAAAACTGAAATTTACGTCATGTTTGTGATGTCATTACGTACATATGGCGTCATTAATTATGAAAATATTCAGTGCTTTGAAGTCAGCATATACTCCCCTGTTAAAAATCTGAATTAAATATATCTCCATCAAAGATTGATTCTGGGGGCAAATATTGGTTATTACCGAATAAAGTTCTTTATGATTTTATTTTTGGGTGTTTTTTTATTATCGTTCAAAAGTTTCGTTCTGAAAATGGCATGATATGTTTCTGATAACCTTAACGTTGAAAAATTTTACAATTTCAAAAACATAGCATCGCGTCGTTACACCGGATCGAAAGATGAGGTGTATACTGTTTTTGTCCTGTCTGTCTGTCTGTCTGTTTGTCTGCAAACTTTAACCTTCGCCATAACTTTTGAACCATGAATGAAAGAGACTCCACTAATTAAGCTCTTTTAAATGACACTAAAGTCAATGAACTTGTGACCTTGACTGTGACCTATATAATAAAAATAGGGTTTTTTTGCAAACTTTAACCTTCGCCATTTCTTTTTAACCATAAAAGATAGAGACCTCATATTTGGTATGCATACACCACTGATTATGATTTTTTAAATGACACCATGGTCAATGAAAATGTGACCTTGACTGTGACATATATGCTAAATATAGCTTTATTGTCGGCAAACTTTAACCTTTGCCATAACTTTTCAACGAAGAAAGATAGAGACTTTATATTTGGCATGCATACTCCACTAATTAAGCCCTTTCACATGACATCAACGTAATATACGGTAAATATAGCTTTTTTTAACCTTCACCATAACTTTTGAACCATGAGAGATAGAAACTTCATGTTTGGTATGCATACTTCACTAATCAAGTTCTTTCAAATGACAACAAGACCAATGATCTTGTGACCTTGACTGTGACCTATAAGCTAAAAATATTTTTTTTAATTTTGTTGCCGCCGGGCGCTTAGTGTTTCACAAACACATCTTGTTTCAATCTAACTATATTATACATTATATTTAGAGAGATGGAGAGAGATTAAGGTATGATGGGTTAAAGTGGCAATTTAAGTGCAGCCTTTAAATTTTATATTTGTTACACATATGTACCTCAAGACTGCTTTCTTTTAATGTTTTCATTTCTTTTAATGACTTTTCTACTTCAATTCTTTTTCTGTCACCTTTGGCTGCCGTGTTTATTCTTGCATTTATTCCTCTTTTAATTCTGTTCATGTCATCTTTCAGCAACCTTTAAAGCAGACAAATACGTAGTATATTTATCATGGATATATCTTTCATTATATCGCATAATATGTAGGAAGATAAATGTGCCATTGAATGTTACTTTTAAAATGCAGAAAACGTTTAAACTTCAAAAGTACAAATCTATTGTTTTGATAGAGATAGCAACTGTTTTGAATTACTATCTAATGAAAATTTCAGATCATTAATTATTGTGGTTTATTTTATTTTCAGCTTTTATCAAGTTTCAAATGAATAAACTGCATCTTGTCTGCATAATATATTGAAGTAAAACGTTTTCTTATCATATGATACACTGAAGAAATGAAACTGAGTGATGAGGTAAAAAAAAAAAAATTGTGAACACAGGACAATTTCCAACAATTTGCAATTGTACGTAAAGGGACATAAACACATCTTCACCTTAAAGTTTTCAAAGTTATTTTCATTTTTTTCATGTTTTCAAATATCTAAATAAGGTATTTCAAATTATCATCAAAAATTTGAATTTCAGTTGTCGAGATATAAGACAGCTCCAAACCTTTGTTATGTAAATAGGGCCCATGTTATAATTTTGCTTACATTGTGGGGAATTCTAAGTTCTGCATATTTTTGTATTTCGGCAAATGATATTCAATTTTTGCAAATCATTAGATTTGCCATATTTTGGAATTGTAACCATTGATGTTGGTTTTAAAATATTCAGTTGAAACTGTGTCCATGTCTCTTTAACAAATTATTGCCTGACGTCACGGCGTCAGGCACTACTAAGAATCAATATTTCCTAGGCGCGAATCTAAGAGGTCACAGTTAGCCAGCAGAATTTTGTGCATGCTGATTATCATGGGATTTTCAACAACAACAGTTTAGCAGAAAAATAAACATATTACTGATACAATATATTGATGTACTTATTTCCTTATAGTACTTATTAGTTTATTGCATGCAGCTATTTATTTCATGTAAGTTCCTATACGGACAAGTCCGTTTGACCTTTTTTCTGCGTTTCTATACTACTGGAATAGTCCATTTGTCTTCTAAGTAAGGGGTGACACAATCATTTCGCGCCAAAAGGTCACGTGTAAGTTTTTGTGCCTTTTTCTTGGACTATTCTATTGAATGGAAATGAAAACTGCCTGGATTATAATAGAGACATATAATATTATGTCAAGTCTGTTCTTTTTTGTGGGAATCTTGATCGAGCTTTGGAAAAAAAAACATATCGGTGATACATTGTGAAGTGGGTTAGAAGTTGCTTCATTTAAAGTAATAAAAAGGAAACGAACAAATATACATCTGATCATACCCCCCCAGGGGTTACCTCCTACAAAAATAGAATATAGACTTAGAAAGTGCCCCCTCACATTTCCGGGCTGATGATGTTTATTACTTTTTTGCCTGTACAAATATTTTGTAGGTTCTATAGATATTGATGGCATTCGTCAGGCACTATGCTTTTTGAAAAGCTGTTGCTTGTAACATATAACAATAAAATCATTTAAATATATACTTTTAAAGATTTCTTTTAACAAAATTGTCTTTTAAGGAGAAAAATTAATAGGGTAACAAATTAACCCCTCCCCCACACACCTTGGGCCCCCCACAACCACAGGTTAGATGACTCACCAGACATTGTTTTATTTTGATTTTCCTGGGACTGAATAGAAACATAAAAGCTGATTGCAAAACGCGTATGGCTTTTCATAACAAAATATCAAAACCATACTTGATATGTTAACGCTGCACACATCACTCACTTATACATGTAATCAAGAAGGTTAGGTCCTGAAATTCACAGTACGGAGATTTTTCTATCTAGTATATTTTTAGAATCCACACGCATAGCTTCATTAAAAATCAAAACACAAAATGGGGGTTACAACGCTCCTTTTGGATCTACCATCTATCATTTAAAAGACCATGTTCACTGTAATAATGTCAAACACGTAAATCAGTTTTTCTGTTTTTCCTCCAATTTTTTTATTCAAAAAAAATATTGGAACAATTTTAAAAACAGTCTCATTTCATCTTGAGTAGCTATAAACATATTAAATAATTGTGACAACCAAACTCTTTAAAATTACTTCGCATCGTCAATTATTTTACCTTTTGACCTCATAACGTCATTTTCCAACATAAAAATCATTTTAAAGTAATTTCATGTTACTGAATTTAAGCAGAATGATTACAATTATCTTTAATATTAAGAAAGGAATATTAAAAGGAAAGGGTGTGATGTTACTATTTTGGATATTACTTATAAAGTGTCTTTTTTAGTCCTATATTGATGATATTTTTTTTCTAGTATTTCAAAATATATTTGCTTAAGTTTTATGGTGATAGAAATCGTCGCAATAAATTTGGACCAATATAAATAAGTTCAGTGCACAAATAAATCCTGTGTGAAGACTGGATGAAAAAAATTCTTTGAAAGAGCGATAAAGTCATTTTTTTTCTAAACAACTTTCCTCCACAAAATATAGTTCCTCATTTTATGCTTTTGATATCGGTTTTATTAATGGGTTTAAATTGAATAAAAAACAGTTACTGGTACAATAAAGTGTTTTATATGCATTTTTTAATTCCTTATAACTGATGTAATAATTATGCAATTTATTTGTAATCCCATTTGGGTGCCTCTTGCATTTACTGATTGATTTTATAGCTTGGACCAATCAAATGATGTTATAAGTATCATTTTATTTTTTTTTCATTTAAAGAAATTTATATAACGAATTGAATTCGTTAAAAAAAATCGACCATTCGTTTAAATCGAATTCAAAATTATATTTGATAAGACTTAAAAGGGCTTCCGTACTAGGATAAACCTAATTTGACAATAAATATACGAACCTTAGGTGTATTGCAATTTTGCTGTCCGTGTTCTTCCTTGATAAATCCAGCAGGCGTTTAGTAAATCTTTCGAAATCTGCTCTTTCTTCATCTGAGCCGTCGTCTGGATTTATCTAAGTTGAAGTACATGTTTATTCAATACTATATAAGAACATTTATAAATGTTATTGTATAAATCACAACAATCATTTCTAAAATAACCGATAGAACAAGAATATTACTTTAAGTATTATGTTATGGCAAATATGAGTGCAACCGTGAATGACGTCAGTATTTAATGTTCTTCACGGCAATTTTTCGATGTTCCGGAGGGAAAAAAAATGAAATAAAGGGGTTTTGTGAAATATCCACATGAGACAAATTATCATGGAATTCTTAAACCATTCTTATCAGTGTTGACACCCAATTTGATTTTGAAAGAGTACAAACTATAAAGGACGTAAAATAGGAATAAATATATTATAGCGAGCGCAGCGAGGCGGCGCGAAGCGCCGCTCGCGTAGCGAGCTGAATAGACCAACGTGTACGAACGGAGGAAATTCGGGTTGAAATCTGCACATTGTTCTAAGAAATTTTTATCTCACCGCGTGAAAAAATTCCAAACTCCCAGTAATCCTTTGCGGTGCATAGCAACATGTCGGCTAAAACATAGCAACAACTTACTTAAAAAAAAAAGATTACAAACAACGATTTAATGCAGTATCCATGCCACAATACTATCGTTTGACGTTTGCGTTCTAAGTCAACAGGACTTTTTATTTGACGCCATACTTTCGTCATTAACGGCTCGGGTATTTCCGATTTTGTTGGAAACTTCCGAAAAGTTCGGAATCTCGATCCCGACGCCTGAGAAGTGATTTCTTTTTATTCTTTTCCTTTTTTTAATGAACAGAGGATAGGCAGTGCAAGTAAAACCTGTGTAAAGGTTTTTGATAGCACCGTAGAACATATTAAAACAATAAACAAAACGATTGCGTTCAGTTATATAAAACTTAGAACATTTTTAATGAAAACTAACCAGAGCAAAACTTGTAAAATTATTTTCAATTAAAAGTCGTAAAATCACTTGATGAACTCTTACTAGACTAATATAATGATAATAAACCTGACAAAAAAGAAAACTTCTTGCAGTGATTCGATTAGTTGAGATGCTGTCCACCTGTACAAAACATTTAAGTAAAATGTGCGATATGTGCATGAACTATTTGATGCTAAAAAAAAGAATGGCTTGTTTGGTATTTATGATGACTCAGCCTTTTATTTCATCATGAAATTTGAATAAATGATTTGAGTAATTAAACGTCATTATAAATGATATTTTAAAATTTATAAATATAAACATACAGTTTTTAAATAAAGTTTGAAGATCGTGTCCTCTTCAAATACAGGCCAGATTTTTTTGATTGTCTCTTTTACGTCATCCCAAGTTTCCTGCATTTCATCAACATTGTCATCATCATCTTCATTATCATCATCTTCATCATCATCACAGCCTTCTTTCATTTGATCTTTTAGCATATTCCATTTATTTGTCACAAAAAGGACATCTTTTGGATCAAAACAAGGCATTTTGTAGAGGTTCGTCAGAATTGTTTCCAAAATTTTGACAATCTGAATAAATATCAAAATGTAATACAAAAAGACGTGTTTGTGGTAAAACTGTTGCGCCCGTATTACAGCGTATGACGACCGTTGTAATTGCTCAAATGCAAAAAGAAAACTCCAAGGTCAAAGTCAAAAGGTCACAATCGTTGGTACCAGACGGAAGCTGAATTTGCAAGGGATACACGTGTGAAATATGAAAGCCTAAGTACCAAATTTTCAAAAATTATTGTCAAGGTAAATTTTTAAAAGGGTCAAAATGTCATAATTGTTGGTACCAAAAGGAAGGTCTTGTCACAAGGAAATACACTCTTGAAATTTGAAAGCTCTATAAGTAACGGCTTAAACGATATGGTCAAGGTTGTTTATTTTGATTATTTTTAAAGTTTACCAAACTCTAAGGTCAAGGTAAAATATCATTTATCCCATGTTTAACCCTTTATCCCGTTGATATAGCTCATGTGATATCGTTTTCGTATCACACAGTTGTGACGTCACAATGGTTTCTGCGATAGAGTGATGAAGTAAATGAAGTTGAGTCTTTTATAAAAGCAGTGCTAAACATTGTTTGTAGTATAAAATACCTGGGATAAAAAGAATCTCACATGATTTGTGGTTAGATATGATTTTAATCCAATTCGTTGTGTGTTTTTATCCCCTCGCCAAGGCTCAGGGATAAAATCCACACAACTTGTTGGATAAAAATCATATCCAACTACAAATCATGTGAGATCCTATATATATCAAATAAAAGGATTCATCAAAAAGAATACCAGTCAGTATACGTGTAAAATAAGAAAATCCTAGTACTTACAGTTTAAAAATTGTGGCAAAGGTTTTTAAAAGGTTGACAAATATTCAAGTCAAGGTCAAAACGTAAAATATTTTCAAACCCAATGAAAGGTTTGTCACAGTAAATATACCTGTGAAGTATAAAAACCCTTACTCTAACTATTTAAAAGCACCGGCTTTAGGTAAAGTTCAATTTTTTTTTTTGTAAATGTTGGTCAAAGAGGTAGGTCATTAGGTCAAATTTTGTGATACAACATCAAAGAACAACAATTGCTAAAGTTTAATCATAAATGATTAATTACAGTAAACATTTCTATTCTCTTTAGATTACTCATATTATGATTTTTAGGTTTACCCTATCTTCCTGAACTCCGCCTGCGTTTGACACGTTGATGATAAAAACAAACGCAATTGCACTAGGAAGATATCTCAAAAGCATATTTGTCAACTCTTCGGATGTTCCAATACCTGGTGTATCCACAAGCATCATATTTCCCTTTTAAATAATAATAAAGGATTGTTCAAACAAAAGATAGGATTATACTGAACTAAAATTGTACACGTACGAGGGGTAATAAAAGGGTTTGGGAACTACATTTATCTCTATATTTAGAAAACTATACTTGAAATCAGAATCATTTAAAATACGCGCATAGTCATACACATATTCCACAGACGATATTCTTACTCGTATTTAAATTTGTAGAATCACACACGAGGACATGCAAATTTAAAGTAAATTAATTTGAATTCAGAAGACTTTCGATTAGACAAAGCATACATTTTTGCACATAAAAATACATGTTGTTGTGTGGTGATTCAAAAGATAAAAAAAAATCACAGGTTATTTCTTAGATTATTTTTCTGATACCGTTTTCAAAATTTCACATCAAAACGTTATAAAAATTGATATTTTTTGTGATGAAACATGATACATCATGAACACAAATGCAGTATTTTGTTCGGCATCACTGACATCTTTTTTTTGAAATATTATAAGAATGAAATATTCATATTTTTTTTCAAATTACGTTCCTTTATGTAAAAATAGGAGTCAAAACTTAACAATACTAAATACTAGGGATGCCAAATCGGATAGAATGTAAGTTCATTGTAAAAGCTTAAACTTTCTTAACATTTTCTAAATGGTGGTCGAGAAAAAAATCTGCTAAAAAGCTGAGGAGCGCACCTCTTTCAGAATTATGCACTTTCACTACTATTTCAATAGAGTACAGCCTTAACATTCAGAACCGCCTTTTCTCTGCCTTGTCATGAATTTCATAACTTTTGTTGATGGAGTAATGTTTATATATAATATCAAATGCCAACTTTAGTTGACTGCATACGGTCTAGAGGTAAAGAAGATTAAATAAAAATATTTCACACACTTGTTCGTTTTCGCCCAGGGTTAAGAGCCACAGGGTATAGATTTTCACAAGTTTTGCACCCCTAGATCCATAGATGTTGAAATTGATGCAGTTGTTTTACAAAATAAAATGAAACTGTTGCAAAAAGTGCTAAACAAATGACAGCGGATGAAACCAGATGTAGACAGTATACAATAGATCACCTAGGAAGTTCACTGAGGGGTGACGTAATAATATGATCACTATGCGAAAACCATTGAGTACGCATTTAGTCAGTAGTGGATTTAGGTGTATACCTTTGTTTTCAAGTTGCCAAATGGACAGAAAACGTCAATGTAGTGGATATTTGGGTCTGCCTTTATGCTTTTCTTCAAATCTGAATTCTTTTCGAGTAAGGTCCTAATTTTCTTCAAATCCCCAAAACCACCAAAAAAATGTGCATCAATGACCTTGTCATTAGCATCGGACAATTTAAGGCAAACCTCCTCCGAAGGGCTAATTCTGCAAATTTTTGCTGTTGCTGGTCTCGCTTTTGGACAAAACAGTTCTTGGCCAACAAGTTTATTTATCAGACTTGTTTTACCAGAGCTTGTTTCTCCTAAAAAGAAAATGATAACATAACGATACCAAAAATTGTGCTATATGTCCCCTTTCTGTTAAACTGGGAGGAAACATAGGTTTCAGTCATATTACGGATATTTGTCTTTAAGAAAATATGAAAAACCACAAAATAGGTCTTTAAACATCGCCTGTAGAATTTATTAAATGGACAGTATTAAACAATATAACTTTAGAATATAATATTCGTTTTTAGCCGGGCTTATTGCTCAAAGAGCAATTGCCGGCTTACATGATCCTGTTCAAGGCAGGATGTTGACCCCATAGTCGCCATTTTAAAGTTACGTGCAAAAATATAGTTCTTACTCTCAACCGCTTTTGAGATAATACAAACGCTAAATAAAGCAACAAAAATAAAACGAAGTTTTATCTACATAAAATAAACATTAGTAGTAATGACCTTGAAAACTTCATAAGTCAAAGAACATAGTTCATTAGCGTAAGGAATTTTGATAATCAGTGTTACCGTAGTTCTCTACAAATACTAGGTAAAGCAGGAGAGGGAACCAGACTGGCCTGTTTGTTTACATTCAGCTGCGGTACCAGATTAATTCTGATTCTGACAAAATCGGACCGTGGAATTAGGATTGAAAAACTCACTGTCAGTGTCTTATCATTTATATTGATAGTTTTAAAATAATTTTTTTCATCAGAATATAAACGTGATTCATGTAAGAAATCCTTTCTACTGTGTAAATGAGCCCGGCTCTCTGTACTTCTGAGTACTTTGATTTCCTTTGTTTTCATAACTTTTTAGCCTTTCTTTTGTTTTGCGGAACAGGTCGTCACGAAAATTTGAAATTTTTTTTGTAAATGTCGTTGGTCATTTTTATTGCTATGTATGTATATATTTCCATCCATGACCTTGTATCTATTTCATAGATCTGATATTAAGGATATAATATGTTGGTTTATTCTGCTCTCTCTCTCTCTCTGTCTCTCTGTATATATGTAGGTACCTGATATTGGTATTCCCCTTTCCATTCTTTCAATATCTTTCTTTCTTTCTTCCAAAATTATTTCATAGTTTTCTTTATCTAACTTCTTATCCTTAAGGCTGTAGTTGTTTGCAAGCTCTTTGCGGAGTTCAGCATCATATTCTTCTCGAGATAGGAATTCTAGAATCTTTTCATACACTTCGACAATTGTTTTTCTCAATTCCCTTTTTTCATCTCTAATTCCAAATTCAAGATCAAGAGTACTGTAAAAATATTTATAAATTAATTTTAAATGTTTTCTATTTGAGGACAGCTCGTCGATTTTATTGAATGCTTTTAAATTATTTAAAAATTGATATTAAAATAATGTTAAATATGGATTACTGTTTTTTTTTCAAGATTTTCATCTGGAATATATTGTAAATATGTAAGGAACTTAGATAATTTGATAAAAAGAATATTAATAAGAATATCCTTGGACCCAGGTTGAATATTCAGAAGAGGGGCAGATGTTGGTGTCATGTCTTCAACCACCAAGGGTCTGACATTTTTTGCTTTGTCCATCTGATTTTCTGTTGTTTAACGTCCCTCTCGAGAAGTTATCACCCATACGGAGACGCCACAATTTGTGGATAGAGAGCAGAAAATGTTGTTCTATACTCGGCACTCAGGGCCATTGAGATCGAGGGGGGAATATTTGTGTAAGCACCTACTGCGACACAGGACCTCAGTTTACAACCTCGGTCTCATCCGAATGACCGGTTTCCACATCCCACAGTGGGATTTGAACCCTCGACAAAAAGATCAACCCCTTACTTCACCATTCTAGAGCAGACGTTCTAACTACTGTGCCACGCGGGTGACCCATCATATACATATACTATGAAAGGACTGCGTTTTAGATTTTTATTTAGCTGTCAGAGCCATTGAGCAATGAAGATTGTCTATTTTGAAAACGCCGTCCATGACAAGAGACTTTCGATTTTAGATCATAACAAATATTGATATCATCTGCAAGTGTGTTGTGCTTGCCAAAGGAATAGTCACTGCCAATGCTTAAGTCGAGGGTTTTGGTGGTGCTAGGAATGGGCTCAGAAAATCGAATCTTGTACCCCCTGTTCGCGAAGCAAGTGCATTACAACGTTAACAGATTTTTTAGACATCCTTATTGTAAAATAATTCTGTATTTAAAGTGTGGGTATAGTTATTCATCCATTTGCTGTGAATGAAGGTATATGTGATATTGATAATCTAATTCTTATAGATTATCTGAATCATTTACATTTGTTTTAAAAACGTAAGTGACCAATATTAAAGGTTATTAACCTTGATGCATTTGTTATTTCTTCCATATCCGTGTCACTACTTTGGCTGAAAATATAAAATAAAATAAAAATTATTATGATCAGTGAACTCTTATAGCTTTTTTAACCTTCACTATAACTTTTATACCATGAAAGATAGAGACTTTATATTTCGTAAGCATACTCTACTAATTATGTTCTTTCAAATGGCGCCTAGGTCAATGACCTGGTAACCTTGACTGTTACGTATATGTTAAATATAGCTTTTTCGAGTTTTGTTGCTTCCAGGCGCACAGTGTTTCACAAACACATCTTGTTAGACTGAAAATCGTTGCAACTTCACTTCACATTCATTAACTACACTTTATGTTAAATGTTCAGCGGCAATGGGCAAAAAAATTGAACATGTAACTAATACCAGAGGAATACTTCATGAATGTTTGTGCGTGCAACATAAATGCAAAAAAGAAAATGATTATCATTATTGATAACAAGAACATTACCTAGAAGAAGACCTCTTCTCTCTGATTTTTTTCTTGTCAGTTGATCCACACCAGGTAGCCATTAATGAAGTTTTGTGTCAAGAAACTGTAGTCCCCTTTCAAGCTCTTTCGGCTAAAAATCACAATAACAAAGTTTAGTGTACATCACTATTTTGAAATGTTAAGGACCTTAACACCACTCTACTTTATCAGAAAAAAAAATTTACTGAGAATAACTTCATACAATTTTTTTTATTTCCAATTGACACGACAGTAACATAGGTAATTCAAAATAAATTCTAGTCATATCGAGAAACATTTTTAACATTTACACCGGGACAATATTGCATTTCCACTGCACACGCCATTTTTCCCTTGTTTGAGTCCCCATAGGGGCTAAAAACGCAAGTGAGCTTTTCTTATCACATTATATTTGCCTTCCATTTTGTTTTAAAAATTAGCTTTTCTTCCTTCCGTCCGAACTGTAAATTGAGGCCACAAAGGAGAATCAAAGTTTCATATAAAAATATTTATCAGAAATTCTTTTAAAACTCCTTTTTAGCCGGGCTTATTGCTCAAAGAGCAATTGCCGGCTTATGTGCTCCTGTTCAAGGCAGGATGTTGACCCCATAGTCGCCATTTTAAAGTTACGTGCAAAAATATAGCTCTTACACTCAACCGCTTTTGAGATAATACAAACGCTAAATAAAGCAACAAAAATAAAACGAAGTTTTATCTATATAAAATAAACATTAGTAGTAATGACTTGAAAACTTCATAAGTCAAAGAACATAGTTCATTAGCGTAAGGATTTTTGATAATCAGTGTTACCGTAGTTCTCTACACATACGAGATAAAGCAGGAGAGGGAACCAGACTGGCCTGTTTGTTTACATTCAGCTGCGGTACCAGATTAATTCTGATTCTGACAAAATCGGACCGTGGTATTAGGATTGAAAAACTCACTGTCAGTGTCTTATCATTTATATTGATAGTTTTAAAATAATTTTTTCATCAGAATATAAACGTGATTCATGTAAGAATTCCATTTGACTCTGTAAATGAGCCCGGCTCTCTGTACTTCTGAGTACTTTGATTAACATAAGCAATTATTTGATTGGTCATATTAATATGAAAATACTTTCAGGCAGTGCAAATTTGAGTATTTTATTAATATGTACAATTTATAATCATTATCAATACTGTAAACTCAGTCATAACAAAACAACGAGGACCTATGAAATTACGTCGCTATATCCGTAATTCCTGCTATACGATCGCGAGTTTTAAGATTTCGGCTGTTCTTGTACTTGTCGATATGTAAAATTTCCTTTACGTTTCGTTGAAAAAGCCCTATAAAATTTTTGTTATTTGTGGAATTCCATATACGACAGCCACCTGCCAACTGCAACTGCTCATAGACGATATTACCGTCATATACGTTAAGGGGTGGTCCCTCTAGATCAGTGCATAAAAAACATAACTTATATTGAATTAAATGGGTGGAAGATGTGGTCGGGAATCGAGAGTCAGTGTGTGTATCTGGTAATCGCAATTATAAAAAAAAATGGGGGATTTTGGAAATTTTAAACTATTAGCCCGAGGAAGGAGTAAATCGGAAGAAGGAGTCTTTCCTCTTAAAAACGAAAATGAAAGAATTTCTGCATTTCCTTGCAGGTATATAATTGTTAGTTTTTCTGATCACATTTTGTCCGGCCTCCGTCTAGCTGTCCGTCTGACTGTAAACGTTTCACAATTTCGACTTCTAAAGAACCGCAGGGCCAATTTCAACCATACTTGCAACAAAGCATCCTTGGGTAAAGGGAATTCAGCTTTGTTCAAACGCTGGTCCACGCCCTCATTCAAGGGGGAGATAATCGGGAATTAGTGAGAATTTGGTGGCATGTTTTAAAAATATTCGTCTAAAGAATCACTGTGCCAGGAAAGTTAAACTTATGGGGAAACATCCTATGGTAGTATTGAGTCAAGTTTGTTCAAATCAGGACCCCTGTGGGTATGGCGGGGCCACAGTGGGCCAATCAAAGTTTACATAGAAAGACCGTATAAGCAGAATTTTTAGCGAGGATTAATTTATTTTTGGCATTATTAATTAGCGAGCGTGCTTAGATCGCTAAAATTGAATATGGCTAAAATTTAATTGCGTTTTATTTTTTATAGCTTCTTTTGTGAGTATTTAAAATCGCTAAAATCGCTAGTAATAAGATACCAATCTTTAAGGGCAAATTGCTAAATTAATCTCGCTAAAATTTCCACTTATCCGGGTATATAGGAAAATTCTTTAAAAATTCTTTCAAGAAAAACAAAGCCATGAATGATTATATTTATATGGAAGCATCCTCAGGTAGTATAGATTAAAGTTTGTTAAAATCAGGACCCCGAGAGGTAAGGCGGGGCCACAATGGCCGACCAAAATTTTACATAGAAATTTATATGAAATTTTTAAAAAAAGTCTTCTTCTAACAAAGCAAATCTATAATTGATCATATTTTATATTGAGCATCCACAGACAGTTAAATTCAAGTTTCTTGGCCTGAGAAACTATTTAAGCGTGGGATAAACGGGGTCACAATGGCCGATTAAAGTTTTATGTTGAAATATATAGAAAAATTCTTTAAAATTCTTCTTCTCTACAATAGCAAAGCCATAATTGATCATATTTATATGGAAGCATCCTCAGGTAGTGTAGATTCAAGTTTTTTCAAATCATGACCCCTGGGTAGGGCAGGGCAACAATGGCCGACCAAACTTATGTAAAAGTTCATGGGACTGACTTTTGGATTTCATCTTTTCAATAATAAACCAATTTCTACTTTTTCCAAGCCACAATGCTCAGTTGAGCGATGTTGCTCATGGGCTTCTTGTTTTTTTTTCTGGACACGGAAAAAGTTGGAGGGGAGGGATCATATACGATAGGTCTTGAGTAACATTTATTGGTATATGTGCGTATTAATACTAGAAGTATAACTGAAAATTATAATAACACATAACTTTTGCTAAGTGGAAAATTTCTAGCTTTCTGGATTTTTACATTTGTATGTGTGTCTTGTAAATCGTTTTAATGGCTTATGTTAGACCTTGAAAAACATTCCTGCTAATGGCACTTTTTTGATTCCTTGTCAAAGGAGTTACATTGAGTTGTGCGAATCCCCCCCCCCCCCACTGAACATGCTTTCTCTTGGCCTGGGGATAAACTATTTAATCGTGGGATAAACGGCCTTTATGATTTTTCATTAATATATCTGATATAAGTCACATTCACCAAAACATATAACCCAAAATCATACCTAACCCCCCCCCCCCCCGTTTTTATCTGACGTATATAATATCCCCCTTGGTCAAATAATCTACTGAATTAATTGCCTGCAAGGAAATATGGGAATTAGGTATACTGTATTTAAACGGGACTACTCTTTCCTCCTATTTATTTCTCCCTCCACCCTCCCCCAACTGGTTAAAAATTTATGAATCCGTCAATTTGTTTTATTGTTATAATCTATCATAGGGCTTCAGTGGTGGATCAGGGAATTTTGTAACGGAGGGAGGCGCAGTTAAAGGTGGGGGGGGGGGGGGTGCATTGCAGGAATCGACGCTAACTAACCAAAGTTGCCAATTTTTTTTTATTTCTACTACAGCCCTGTGTCATGTATTAGCTAGTTGTCCAGCAGCCAAAAAATGCTGGCCCAGTTACCAACCAACGAGGGGGTAGGTGCGGTAGGGAGTTTCCTCCTCCTGCTGTGGGATCCCCCCCCCCCCCGGTAAATTTTTAAAAATGCCAAAGCCTGCATTCTGGCTGTATTTTTGGGTATAATTATATTTATATGTTCACTTTATGAAAATTTTCAGATTCATAATCATTTAGGATATTACAAATTACCTTTTACCTTTTGATTTGTATGATAACTACTAGTATGATGATAAAACCTATGTATAACAATAACAATTATCAGGAACATGGTGTGTATTACAGCATTTTTTTTAATTAATCAATGCATGAAGTTCACCAAATACGAGGGGTGATCAAAAAGTTGAAACTAATTGAATAACTTCCATAAAAGGCACAATATTTGGTTTCAGTGTTAATTATATTTTAAGGTAAGTCACTCCTCAAATTTTTTATATCAAGGATTTTTGAGATATTTTGGAGAACAATGATAAAGTGTTTCATAGAAAATTGCAGAGAAAATAGGGGGTCAGTGTGCATCGTACTGATGTATGAATCATATTTAAAGTTGACCTATTTGCACTTAAATTTTTAACCCCTTAGTTTATTACTTTTATACAATTATCTCTTATTATAGTTTTTCAGCTGTAACCATGGCAATAAATTTATTCTTACTTTACGTAAAATAGTTTGAATAATATTTATCATTGATCAAATCTTGCAAATTAATGCGCGTAAATAATTGTGACCTTTTTGCGCTAAAATATAACATATTTTGGGTATTAGAAAAATAGAAAAGGCAATATAATATTTCTTATATCAAGCTTTGTATGATTTAAGTGCTGATCAGTCATAAGTATCGAGAAGTTTAAAATAATGAAAGAAAAAGTTGGGGTCAGTGATGTTAATTTTGAAATATTGGACAAAATATGTGATTTTCAGGCAAAAAATGGTGTAAAATTTATCTTGATTTTTGATATATCTCCTGTTTTTGGCAAAGTTTGTTGAAGGAAGATAAAACTTCTTCTAAAAATTTAGATTAAGAACTATATCAAATATTCCTATCAATATCATAACGGAAAACTTCTCCGAGTAAAAGTATCTAAGGCTAAAGTTTCAAAGACGTTAAATTTAATAAATGTGCAGATTTGCAGAAATTTCTGCTAAATATCCTTCCACCACGAAAAATAGTCCCTAATAAATCTTGCTCTTTGAAGAATTTTAAGCAGTTTTTTCTTTGATTGTTAAAAAATATACATTGTTGAATATAATTTTTTTTATAAAAATTGAATTTTAATAAAATATTTTTGAAGTTAGAGGTTCTGCGTGAACTTTTTTAAAAAGCTGACGAGTGACTTACCTTAATTAGTCCTCTGCGATTTTAATGCACACCTGCCACCGTTCTGCTCATGCGCGAATCACGTGATATAGCCGGTCACGTGACCCCTTCCGTA